GAAATTGAAAAGCATGAAATCTCAAAAAGTAGCCAAGAAGGGTCATCTCGAAGACTCTTTTATTTTGCACTTCCACCATCAGTATATCCATCTGTTTGCAGGATGATCAGGAAATATTGCATGAATAAATGTAGGTATTCTGTCCCAAGAATAACCATGTTGGAATATATAATTTAGATGATTTGTAGGCCCTTTGTGAAGGAATAATTTCATGCTATCTGTATTTTAATCGTATTTGTTTCATACTACACCAAAGCTAAATGACATTGACAATCTATTTTCTCTTGGGCTCATCTTACATGATATTTGCATAGATGTAACAACTAGTTTTATGATTTCTTTTCCAGCTGATCTTGGTGGATGGACTCGGATTGTTGTTGAGAAACCATTTGGCAAAGATTTGGACTCTGCAGAGCAACTAAGTTCCCAGATCGGAGAGTTGTTTGATGAACCACAATTTACCGAATTGATCACTATTTGGGAAAGGAATTGGTCCAGAACCTGGTAATGAATGTGTAAAGCGGTTGCTTTTTATTACTTGTTTTCTTTTGTAGATTTGCTGATATTTGGCTTTATGTCATTTGCAGTTGGTTCTTCGTTTTGCTAATCGCTTCTTCCTGCCCCTTTGGAATCGCGACAACATTGATAATGTACAGGTGAGGATCCATCTACTGTGGATGTTCTGCAAACTGTTTTGTTGAGGGTATTGCACTGTTGATTAGTTTAGGCTATGCCTTGTATAGGCTTGCTGGATGGCTATGCCTGTCATATTATTGCCTCAAGTTACATCGAAATATGCTGATAAAGAAAAATGTCATAGCTATTTTTGGTCTGATAGAGCTTTGTTAATTGACAAGTAATACTATTCTTCTGATATTAATCTAGATTTTACTCTGTTTCTTCTGGCAGATAGTGTTCAGAGAGGATTTTGGAACTGAAGGTCGTGGTGGATATTTTGACGAATACGGGTATGCTTTGTAGCACTTATTTCAGATCCCCGTTGTATGGGAAAATTTATGAAGCATCATGTGCTTTCCCCTTATATGTGATTTGAATATTTCTCCTAAAAAGGTGGAGCATCTTGTACACTAAAACGACTTTTTCTGGTTTCTTACAATACCGATCCATAATTCCATCTAACATTGGAGAAGAATACATGTTATCTATCTGCCTTCTCAGTTCTTTTTCCTTCTGTTCTCTTTGTGCAGAATCATCCGTGATATTATCCAAAACCACCTATTGCAGGTATGGCCATTGCCAACCTCAACTAGATATCACATCATTAAGAACGGAACATTATTTGCAATGTGTATAACTGGAGTTTTCAAAGTTAGAATTTTCATTTCCTATGCTTTGTGTAGTTGTCTGCACTTCCGTTGTTTTATTAAGTTATACTCTGCTACTTGTGGCAAAAAGAAGTTCCTTAGAATCATTTGCTCGTTTTGATTTCGAAAGCCTTTATGTTTCTGGATTCCTTTTTCCAAAAAGAAAGAACATGTTATGTACTGGTCCATTAGCCTCGTGCCCTTGTTTATTGAGTTCATACCAATTGCAGGTTCTTTGCCTCGTTGCTATGGAGAAGCCTGTCTCTCTCAAACCCGAGCACATTCGTGATGAGAAAGTGAAGGTGTGCGTCTTTATCTCCATGCTTTACCATACCGATAACAGATTGACTAAGTTTCAATTCATCTATTGGAGTATATTGGTTAATGCAATACTCCCTTATAATTTCTCGTTTTCCTTCTAGTTTACTTGCTTTAAGTTGCTTTCTTTGCTATATTTTTATATTTATATTTATATGACTCCAGGTTCTTCAATCAGTACTTCCGATCAAAGATGAAGAGGTTGTACTCGGACAATATGAAGGTTACAGAGATGACCCAACAGTTCCCTACCACTCAAACACTCCGACATTTGCAACTGTTATTCTCCGTATACATAATGAAAGATGGGAAGGTAGTATGGTTGCCTCATTTGCAGCTGTTTATGTGGTGAAATATGTTATTTTATATTTCCATGCTCGAGTCTGTCAATGATCACCATTGATTGGTTTATGTAATTTTTTATTTGGATTGACCAAAAAATTTGTTCAATTTGAATTTCTGATTAGATTTTCTAATTTCACTAATCGGTTTGTTTCCAGGTGTTCCCTTCATTCTAAAGGCGGGGAAAGCATTGAATTCAAGAAAAGCAGAGATACGTGTTCAATTTAAGGATGTTCCTGGTGACATATTCAAATGTATGACTATGAACCTTTAAGATTCTTTATAACTTTGCTTACATGATTATTTGGTCCCATTTTTTAATAATGCATCGGATTTCCGAGGTTTACTTTGAAAACTAAGATAATGATCTTTTTATATGTAGTGGTGTCTTTAGTGGTTCTCTCTGTATGATATATGGAATAAATGTCATTTATTGATCTGAAAAGACAATGGTGATTGTCTGTAAATCAAAGATAATCCGCCTGAAAGGTTCTTTCCGAAGATCTTAGTTGTACTTATGATTATGGTGTTACACGGCTAGCATAGCTAAAGCACATTTACTGTATTCACTAAAACTCTTTTCGATATTAACACAAAGTATTTTAACCTTTTAATCATCCTTTTCCTTGAATTTTACCGCCTTTATTTAGGTCAAAAGCAAGGGAGAAATGAGTTTGTCATTCGCCTACAACCTTCTGAAGCCATGTACATGAAGCTAATGGTGAGTTTGCTAATCCTATTACATCTAAAAGCTATTAGAACATTATTTCTATGAGTAAGGATCTTCCTGCTTATGGTTTCAGATGATTCGTTTATTCTTCTTGATATACCAAATAGTTATGCTATTTTCAGTCTAAAAACCACCCCATGTATGTTTGTTTGCTAAATTTTGTATACAAGGCATCTTCAAAAGCGACAGTTATTGTTTCACATTATCATTGTGGTGACGACATGTGAGGCTGCTCGTTGTAGTGACTTTTGTGCACTGTTGAGCAGCAATCTTGAATGTTTGATGCCCCTTCTTTGTGTTATTAGATTTTATGGAAATCGATAACCGTACTCTACAAAAGTTACTCATGTAGCCTATAACAAGTGACAAGATCTATATTTTTTAGTTTAAGCTTTGAAAAACTGCTATTGGAATTCACTGCAAGATCTTTGTGCTTGCATACCAACTTACATCTGTGTCTGCTGTCAGGTGAAGCAGCCCGGTCTTGAGATGTCTACTGTCCAAAGCGAACTAGACTTGTCGTACAGGCAGCGCTATCAAGGTGTTACGATCCCGGAGGCTTATGAACGTCTAATCCTCGACACGTATAATCCTTGCCCTTGCTGATCCTTGAAATATTATTGTCCACAGTGCATTCATTTACTGTCAAGTTTTTCCCGTTACACAGGATAAGAGGTGATCAGCAGCATTTTGTTCGCAGAGACGAGTTAAAGGTAAGAATCCATGTGTACATCGGAAAGAAGATAACTTATACGGAAAATATATAAACTAACATTCATATTGCTTAAAATAATCAGGCTGCATGGGAGATTTTCACGCCTCTTCTGCACAGAATTGACAAAGATGAAATGAAGCCAATTCCATACCAGACGGGTAGCCGTGGTCCTGCCGAAGCCGATGAGCTTTTGGCTAAAGCCGGTTATGTTCAAACACATGGTTATATTTGGATTCCTCCCACCTTGTAGAAGAAACTAAAAGAAACTTGAGATATAGATATATATTTGGTTAAGGCCTGTTTGTAGCAAATGCAATAAAAGACATGCTAAAAGCCGAAGAGCTTTTTTAGCCTTTGCTTGGTTTGAAGTATGTAATGTGATTCGATACCCTCTTTAAATCATATTTTGGAACACTTTCTAAAGGCTCTTCCCTTGAAATTTTATATATCCAATATAAAATTAAACAGATCTATTATTTTTAAAATATATACAATTGAATCAAAATTAAAGTTTTATATATACAATTAAATTAAAATTTCATATATATAATTCCACCAAACCAAAATATATACTACATCAGACATAATTTTAATATTTATTTATTTTATCAAATTTAAATTTAATTTCGAATTTAATATTCCAAAATTAAATATTATTATTGGTCATGATATTTTTTATTATAAAACAATCATTTTAATATTAATTAATTATTATTATTGATCACAATGTGTTTTTTTTTGCTTAATACAAAAATAAGTGCTTAAATTTTGCTTCGAAAAATATTTTAGTGCCCAAAGAAATTTTCGTTAAAAATAGGTACCTAACGTTTTCATCGAAGAATTTTAGGTATATAGACCGTGACGACCGTTAAATTTGACCGTTAAGTAACACATGTCACGTTATGATAATTTAAAAAAAAATTATTTAAGAAAAAAAAACAACCCATAGCCCCGCGTCACCCCCTCCCCTTCTCTTTTCCATGGTCGCCGACTGGCCATTGCAACCGTCACAGCCACCTTCATCGGCACCAACGTCAACCCCCGACCAAATCTCTGTTGGCCTTTCCTCGTAAAGTGCCACTGTTTACAGTGAGAAACGTTCAAAGGTTCGTCGGATTTTAGTCACTGTCACTGTTTTTTGTCGATTATGGTTGATCCCGACGTCCATAAGTCACATCGTCACCACCATTCGAATCACTCTGCAATTCCGATCAAAACCCAAGTGTTCGACGATGATGGTGGCCAGAAATGACCGGCGACCGTTATTAACATAGGTTGAAATGAGATATTTTAGTTTTTTAGATTTTTTTAATAATTTTATAAAAAGTTTGGATTTTTTTTATAAAAAAATTAAGTTTTTTTAAATGATATTTTTATTATTAAAAAGTCTTAAAAATTAAAAAATATAACGTTAATCACCTAAAAGTATACATGAAAAAATGTTACGTACTTATTTTTAATAAAAAAAATTTAGACACCAAAATATTTTTCAATTCTGTTACTTATTTTTTTAATTAAATTTTCTTTTAAATTTTTTAAAATATCAAAAAAAAAAAAAAAACTCGGGCTAGTTCCACAATTGGTGAGGAACTTTGTTTCTTCTCCCTTGTTTCTCTCCTCTTTCCCCTCTGTTTTAAGCAAAACTCTGTTTCCCTTCAACTTTTGTTCCTTTCTTTCTATCTGCATTGCTCTTTGCATTAAAAAGCTTGGTCAAAGGCTTTTGATTCTTTATCTTCCCTCAATCAGATTCTCTCATAATAATAATAATAATAATAATCATACAAAAAGACTGTTTCTTTTTCTTTCCTTTTCCTCTTCTCAGATCCCTTGTTTTTCTCTCCAGTTGCCTTTATCTTTCTTTCTCATTGGACCCATTCTTTTCAAGTTCCAGCCTTTACCTTCAATTTCACCTATTTTTAAATAACTTTGTTTTAGTTTAACTTGGCCCTTTTTCATTAGGTTTTTGCAAGAAACCAAAAATCTCTACAGAAATTCAGGTACCTTTGTGTTTATATATATATATATTTTGTCACCTGAAATAATGGGTTATCTTGCATTTTGATTATGCTTCTATTTTGGTTGTTGAATCAGGTCTGAGCTTAGGGTTCTTGATAGAGGGTTGTCTTTTTTCTTGGTTTAGTTGGTGATTGCAGAATAGAAAAAAAAATAATGGCTTTGAATTGGGATGGTTTTGGGAATTCCTGGAGTTGCAATTGGGATACTGAAATCTTATGTGGAATAACTGAATCAAAAGGGTTTTATGAGGCTGTTAATGATGATATCGCTGATAGATTGCCTGAAGATCCATTTGGGATGGAAATTAGGTCTACTTTTGCTGCAGCAGTTACTGGTTTGTTTCAGGATTTCGAGAATGATTTGTGGTCTGATTTCTGTATGTTTGGTATGAAAAATGATGAAGAGAAAAAAATTTCTGATCAGCAACATATGTTTAAGGATTTAAATTGGCTTTGGAATGGCACCATGAGTTTTCAACCTGAAGAAGGTGTCTCTAGTTATGGATTTAGTTCAGAAGAAGTTGACAAAACTATTGGCGATCAATCATCTCACTTTCAAGGTGTGAATTGGGTTTGGAATAACTTAGAAATCAACAAAATATCAGACTCAGATGATGATTTTAATGGAGTCGGGATCGATTTTGGACTTGCCATTGGAGGTTCTTCGACCAATGATGAAGGTAAAGGATTGGAAGATTGCAAAGGAGTTTTTTGTGATACTCTTGATGGAGGTGATCCAAGTGATTCTTTGTTTTTAGCTCTTGGTTATCTTGGTGTTAAGGACCTCCTTGCCGTCGAAAGGGTTTGTAGGTCTTTGAGGGATGCTGTTAGAAGTGATATTCTTCTATGGAGGAGCATCCATATTGAACATTCATTGAGTAGAAGGATTACTAATGATGCTCTTTTGAAATTAACTAATAGAGCACAGGGCACTCTGGAATGCTTGAGTTTGGTCGGGTGCATAAATATTACCGATGATGGCTTGAAGCATGTACTTGAAAGTAATCCCAAGCTTACTAAGGTTAGTCCTTGTAGTGCAAGTAACTATTTTCGAGTTAATATATTTTATTTTTCATACAACAATTGGTTCATTATCTATTTCATAGATAACAAAGTTGTGTTTCAGTCAATTGTTTTGCAGTGTTATTCGAGTGTCGTATTAATGCTTAATTAGCTACTTAGTTATGAATTTATCAAACTGTATCTATTGTTTCTTTTTTATGTATAATTATAACCTTGAAGTTTGGTTAGTCAAATTATAGTTTATTTTTTTAATATCTTAAGTCGTACAAGTTAATTAATTTTTATATATATTATTTTTTCCATGCAGTTAAGTTTACCAGAATGTACAGGGCTTAGTTTTGAGGGTATTTTGTTGAATTTAAAAGCCTTCAAGTCCATTGGGTCTCCAGGAATAAAACACTTAAGAATAGGTGGATGTTTCTGTGTAACCGAGGATCAATTCAAGGAGTTAAAGTTTTTACTCGGTGCGGATAACTCAATACAATCGAGAGAGCAAAAACCGCAATTTTTTCGTCAAGGTCAATTGCATTTCATGTGTGATGATGATAGGGTGATTGATATTGAGATCTGTCCTAGATGCGAGAAACTGAGGTTGGTTTATGATTGCCCGTCAGAGAGTTGTAGAAAAACACATAACACTGCTCAGTTGTGCAGGGCTTGCTTTCTCTGCATTGCTCGCTGTTTCCATTGTGGCAGCTGTTTTAAGCATTGCGACTACGAGGAAACATTTACGTTAGACTTGCTTTGTTTTAATTGTTTGAAGCATATCTTAGGGAGTGAAGAGAATCCGGAAGTAATCGGTACTTCCTATCAGTTTTACTTGTATGGCTAATTTAGAAGTTCGAATTCCCTTGTGCTATTGATTGCAGACAACTTTTTTTCGCACAACTCGAACTTAGCAGGTGGTTATTGAATATGTCCATGGATGCACAGAGGTGAAGGTTAACATAATCCACACGGGCAGTTCTTGGTCATTGAATATGCATGCATGCTGTTCTTTTGTTATCAACCGTGGACGCATGCATTTCCTTGTACTTTTTGGTTCGTTGAATGAAGAACTGAGGTCGGTGTTGGATTATATCGAATAAGCATTTCATAAAGTGGATGGTTTCTTGTTCGGATGTGATAAAAGCCAAGCATTTTTCGGATGCTCCCTCGTTACCATTCGATCCTTGTGCATGAGGAGAATCGATATGGTAAGTAGAAGAGGGGAGACTGGTCTGGTATTTGGTTGGTATGTTTGTTTCGTTTGTTATGATTTGGGAACTTTATATATTTGCTGGACAAAAATTATGCTGAACTGATGTCTTCTTCCCTTTGATAAAGGATCTTTTATGGATCTAAATTGTGATGGTCCATGAATTAATATGAATTAGTTGCATGTTATTGGTACTGAAATTTTTTAGGGATTGTTTTTTTTAAAAAGAAGGATCTATATGTTGGCGGAATAATCATCAACCAATCAACTTGATTGATCCCCGGACTACACAACTCTGATTTTGTATTGTTTACTGGCAGACTATAGAGATGCTATAGCAGAAATCCAAGACATCCTTTATGGCCTTTACTGATGCAATAGTTCACTTGGGCTGAAACCACTATGAGTTATATTTGGGCTGAAAGTCGAAAATACTTTATGACCACCTGTCAAGTTTAGAAGCCTTGTGACAACCTTCATCCCAATGATGAAAAATTAAGGGGACAGTAGTGGCCCCTTGTCTTTACATCTTTTTGCAAGGGTCTAAAATACTACTTATTAATATAAGGTTTAAAAATAGTAAAAATCGTTTGGAATAAAAAAATTTATTGAGAGTATAATTCTTTAGATTAAAATTGAAAATTTTATTTTCTTTGTAACCTTTCCAGTTATAACAAAAATTATTGCAAGTTGTACGATCATTTTTATTTTAAACCCTAAGCCCATCACAATATGTATTTTCAATTATAACAAAAAATATTATAAATTATATAATTTTTTAATTAAAAATAATAATATTTTAAGTTAAAAATCATTATCGAATAACTTTAAGTAAATTATCGTACAACAAAACTATACCCATCATTTATAGCCACCAAAAATTTAGAATTAGGTATACATGCCGTTATCCATTCACAAAACTATTTAGGGAATTTAATCTAAAACTATTTTTTAAATTATAATTGCTTTTAAAAGTATTTTTATAATTTAAGAATAAATTTTAAATTTTCATATACTTTATAAAAATATTTTTAAAAAATTAATTATTATTTTAAAATATTAAAATAAAATTATAATTATAATTAAAAGGTCAAATGAGATATCACCTAATAACTAAATGTAATATCATCTTAAAAAAAAGCTAACATAGAATAGAATGACACGAAGATAATGTTCATTCTATAATAAATTAAAATTTTAATATTTATTTTTATAATTTTTAAAAAATTAATGATTAAAAGAATTATTGTTTTATAATTTAATGATAATTTATATAAATTATAATTTTTTGTAAAGAAACTCATCATTCGATTAATTAAAATTTTAATAATAAAATTAATATATTTATTTTATTTTAATTATAAATTTTTTAAATTTTTATAACATAATCAAATAAACTATTCGGACCCATCTAAACCCATTCCAAATGAAATTGAGCAAAAAGTTGTTCAATTTTTTTGGAAATAAGGAGTGGATTCATGAATGATGGAACCCATGAACTGATTTAATTCCAAATAAAACAAAATTTTGATATCCACAAATCAGCCCATTACCTGAAAAAGGAATAAAAAATCTCGTGAGCAACCCTCGGTTTTCCCACCGCATGTTTGGTGGTCCTACTTCCTTCCTGAACTTTCCGCCATTTCTGCCTCTCCCACTCGTTTTTAATTATAAACCCCTTTTCTCTTTATTTGCTCACCGCAATCATCACTCTCGTTTTTATTTTCCTAACTGTTCTTTTAATTCTTCCTTCGTCACCTTTGTTTTTCCGTGATGGCAAAGATTAAGATCGGAATCAACGGTGAACATATACTTTTTAATCTTTTGTTGTTAATTTTTAATTGTGGATCTGATTTTTTGTTTTCGTGTTTGGCGAAGGATTTGGAAGGATCGGTCGTTTGGTTGCGAGAGTTGCTCTCCAAAGAGACGATGTTGAACTCGTTGCTGTTAACGATCCTTTCATCACCACTGAATACATGGTTCGTAATCGTATTTTGTTTTATTTTCATTCGTATTTTTCTCTTTTTATTTTCTATTGCATTTTCTTTCTTTCTTTCATGTTTTTACTAGAGCTTTGATTTGAATAAATTCGTGTGTTGAAGGTTGTTTTAATAGAAACGAAGCTGATCTTAAAGGAATCATGAACTAGTGATTTGAATTTATTTATCCGGATCTGATTTTTGCACTTGATTACTTGCCTAACGGATGTGTTTGAAGTATTAAATAATTTAATAATATTTCAACTGACTCTGATCTATTAAGATATTGATCTATCAGAGATTTAGGATAAAGTAACTGAATAACTGATACTGCTTGCTTTTCGGTGAGCTGATCTTGTTTTTACGTCGACAGTAGAGAATCTAATTGTTTATTTTGTTTGTTTTATTTAATAATTTGTTTATGGATGTGATATTGACAATTGTATTTGTACAGACCTACATGTTCAAGTACGACAGTGTTCATGGTCAATGGAAACACCATGAGCTTAAGGTGAAGGACTCAAAGACCCTTCTCTTTGGTGAAAAGCCTGTCACTGTTTTTGGCATCAGGTATGATTTTCTTTTCCTTTGAATGAGTGTGTTGAGTTTTTTATTGTTCGAAACATTTTATTTAAGTGCTTTTCTGATTAATGGTAGAAACCCTGAGGAAATTCCATGGGCTGAGGCTGGAGCTGAATATGTTGTTGAGTCTACTGGTGTTTTCACTGACAAGGATAAAGCTGCTGCTCACTTGAAGGTATGTGACATTAGTTTTTTCCCTAAGTTTAACATGCCACTTTGAGTCTGAAGATGGAATATTGTTGTGTGTGTCGGGAACTTAATCGTGTTTGACATCTGTGTCCAATACATATCGGGACTTGTTTATAGGGTATACTTCTCAATATATATGGAAAAATGTCTAACACATCCCATATCCAGCACTCACTGTCAGGGACTTGCAACATAGCTTTTCCATTTCTGGTTTTCTTATCCTTTTTTTCTTTTTCCTCTCTCAGGGTGGTGCAAAGAAGGTGATCATTTCTGCTCCCAGTAAGGATGCCCCCATGTTTGTTGTCGGTGTAAATGAGAAGGAATACAAGCCTGACCTTGATATTGTCTCCAATGCTAGCTGCACCACCAACTGCCTTGCTCCATTGGCTAAGGTAATAATTATTCCTCTATTAGCAACTTAGCATTTTAAAGCATTTGCTAATAGTTTCATCCTCAAAGTAATAATGGACTTGTATGCATGATGGCAGGTTATTCATGACAAATTCGGTATTGTTGAGGGTCTTATGACCACTGTCCACTCGATCACCGGTAAGTACTTTGTGTTTTATTGTGTGCTTTTAATCAAGTTAGTGTATTATTGACTGACTTTGCTTTTTTTTTTTCATTCAGCTACCCAGAAGACTGTTGATGGTCCATCAATGAAGGACTGGAGAGGTGGTAGAGCTGCTTCCTTCAATATCATTCCCAGCAGCACCGGAGCTGCCAAGGTATGTATCCATTTTTGCACTTTCTGGTTAAGTTGTATGATATTTTTGTTTTAATTTTTTTGGCAGGACTTGTTATTTTACTATAATTTATAAATTTTATTTTTTTTATTAAAAATGTAATTCTTTCCAAGAAAATCCAACCTCACGGCCCAATTAACATGTGATTAGTTTCAGATGTTAGAACCTGTATTTTGCATCTTAGCTAATTATGACTAGCATGCTATATGTTGTTGTTAAATGATCGTTAGAAATAAAGTTTAATGGTTGATTATCATCTTTGTAATGACATAGGCTGTTGGCAAAGTGTTGCCAGCATTGAATGGTAAGCTGACAGGAATGGCTTTCCGTGTTCCCACTGTCGATGTCTCAGTGGTTGACCTCACTGTGAGGCTTGAGAAGAAGGCTTCTTACGAGGATATCAAGGCTGCTATCAAGTAAAGATTAAGAATATTGATCTCATAGTGATGTATTTAATACAAAGATGCATGCCTTATTTATGTATCAACACCGTGGATCTTTTTGTGTAGGGAGGCATCCGAGACCACAATGAAGGGAATTCTTGGTTATGTAGATGAAGATTTGGTCTCAACCGACTTTGTTGGAGACAGCAGGTGCGATGCTGCGTTCTTCCAATAATATTTTATTTAATGTTGATTTTGATGGCTTGTGGCTCAGTTTTGTATAGGCTAACTATTTAGATAGGAAATTGTAGCCTTTGGTGATGCGATGTTGTGATTTATTTAACAGGTCAAGCATCTTTGATGCCAAGGCTGGAATTGCTTTGAATGACAACTTCGCTAAGCTTGTTGCCTGGTATGACAATGAGTGGGGTTACAGGTAAATCATATATATCCATCACTTACGTCTGATAATACGTTGTAGTAAACAAAGTTTGTCGGTGGTGGATTTTTGTCTAATGTTGACATTCTTTCGTTGCTGCAGTTCTCGAGTGGTCGACTTGATTCGACACATGGCTTCATGCTAAGTGGGCGACGCTTTAGCCTCTTGCTTCAGCTTTGGCAAGCAATTTAGAATTAGAAGAGAGATGCCTGTTGGCTGCTGGGCATGCGAATAATGGATTTGTACGGAACAAAAATATTTTGTTTTGGTGTGAACCCTTATTTTGCAGGGATTTTTTTTTGGGGGGATGTTCTGTTTGACACCCTTTATCCAATTTATGACATAAAAATAAAAAATAAGTGCAAGATCAATTAAAAAAAATATATTGTCATAAATTGCTATAAATATGACAGGAAATTATACTTTTACAATTATATAGTAAGCATAAAAAAAATTCATCGAGCTGTATAAAACAGTTGAATGA